AGTAAACTGACTTCCGGCTCTTGTTAAAATCATTCTTTACCCACACAAGGACAAATAACAGCCGACCAGGCCGCGAAAACAACAATCTTGATGACAAGACAAGAATGACATTTTCAAAAATGTTCCGTTTCATCACGTCCGCTTTATAGAATACAACGCTTATAAAATAAGAGGCTGACTTCCTGGTTGCATTTAGTTCGGTGTCTGTTCATTGCAGCTGATCACATTGGAGTTCCCTGGCTTCAGGCCCCAGCTAAGGGAGGTGTCTGTCCCAGTGACTACAGGCAGCACCGAGTGGTCTCCGTCCCAGTGACTACAGACAAAATGAAAGTCCGTGTGTATTCCTCGGTGAAAAGCCCGGGGCCGCGGCCTAGTCCGCCTCAGAAAGGTAACTGTCCTTGAGTTACAGGGTAGGGGGAGCCTGACTGATCTGTTCCCCGCCCGCCCCCCAGTGGTCTGGGAGCTGTGTCCCTGAGAGTCCCAGAGAGTCCCATCTGAGCTGGACACCAAGTAAATCCCCATCGCCCGGGGCCGAATGAGTATCTCTAATCATAAAAACCCAAGGGTTTTCTTTAAAAGCAGCAACAGGTCCAGCGTCAGGTCCCCCTTTTATTTAAAGCGGTTCCTCCGGTTGAGATTTGTCTTCTTTAAAAAAAAAGAGCTGGCTTTGGACATGTTCTTAAAACAGAACAATCTTTGTTGTTTCTTTCAGATCCGAAGGCTCTTAAAGAATGTGGAGTGGAGCTGAGGAATATTGGTGATTTCGTTAACTTCCTCCAGCTCATGCTGAACACCATCAGAGTCATTCAGCAATCTACCTGAGCGGCCCCCGTCCAAAAGTAAATACAACCAACCCGAAGGTTATTACCGAAAAATGGTTTTTAAAAAAAAACGCCGTCTGTGCTTTCTTTACCGGTTTCTGGACTGAGCTTTCTTCATTAAAAGTCGTTAAGAGATCCAGGATATGGTTGGGGCCTGTCGGAAGAGCTGAAGCCTGGGCATGGCAGTAACCCAGGGGTGGAAGGAGCGGCAAAATGGGCAACGGTGGGAACAAAACAAAGAACAACAATAACAATACCGAGAGGATTTTGTTGGACAGTGTGGAGGGAGGATTAGACCGAAAACTATACGCTCGGGAGGAAAAAGGTGTGAAACGTCGTATTTTTAAAAAAAAAATAATAGGAAGCGCTATGTTGCATCGTATGTTTGTAAAAATGGCAGTGACTGAATGTTAAACTGATAAACTTTTCAACGGCTTTCTTGTGTCACTTTTTTAACAGTTGAAAATTGTGTATTAATGGAACAGTTTATTAATGAGTGGTTTTCACTACTTCGGTACATGTGACAACGGTAAATCAAATTGTCACGTGTATTTTACAGTGATACTGTACAGTAAAATACAGTGAAAAAGCTTCCACTTGTCACCTTGACCCGGTGCCATTTTGAATAGTTTAATAAAAACTGATATAGCTTAAAGTTTGTTTTTGAATGCACAATGTGAGATTTTGAGGGGGGGTGCAGAAGCTGCAAATATTAGTTAATTATGAAATGAAATAAAATGGTTTAACATGTATGACAGGTCTGCCATGGATTTTGAACAACCTCAGTTTCACAGGTTTTTATTCTTATTGAATATCTGTAAAAAAAAAATTTGAGAGATGTTTGACTTTAAGTTGTACTGTGAATGTGAAGTGTTAGTTTAAAGTCAGAACAAATTATATATCTCATTAAACTAACTATAACTACTGATGAGAAAAACATATTGTAAGCAAACGTTTTAAAGGTTCACTGGGTCTCAGTAAAACTGTCTTATTGTCATATGCAAGCTTATCATACATATGTATAACAATTCTATTGTGCAAAAACTTGCAATCATTCTGAGTGTTTTGATACTGTAATTCTTGGCAATTTGCATTAAATATTTTTAATCAGTAATCATTGTAAAAACTACTATGGTCTGATTTTTGTATTGCATTTTTATACCTTAGCTGGGGTTTTGGTGCCAGTGAGGCAATTCCATCATCATTATTTGTTGACTTCATTAAGACAAATTTTGAGAGTTCAGGAACAAGATTCTGTGCTAGAACAACTGTGCCTGGCTGAGGTGAAATCCATGCTGGAGGATCCGCGCAGGGACCAAGAACGGGATAGGCCATATCAGTGCTGGAGTGACCGTGTTAGAGTAGAGGACAGTTCTTTCAGAAAGGGGTTTTCATTAACGGGGCTTTGTAGACAGCAGTTCTTATTGTCAGGCAGTCACCAGAAAGCAGTCTTCATCAAGCAGATGAAAGATGAAAGTTGTTCCAGGACGAAGACCATGGGGAAGAGTTCCCTAACACCTCTCTCACATTCCTGGACCTCTCTGTCTCCATCTCGGGCAACCACCTAGAAACCAATATCCATTTCATGCCCACCGACTCCCACAGCTACCTAGAATACACCTCCTCCCACCCACCTTCCTGCAAAAATGCCATCCCCTACTCCCAATTCCTTCGCCTCTACTGCATCTACTCCCAGGATGAGGCATTCCACTCCCGTACATCTCAGATGTCCTTGTTTTTCAAGGACCGCAACGTTCCCCCCCCTCAGTGGTCGAGAACGTCCTCCACCGTGTCTCCCACATTTCCCGCAACTCATCCCTCACACCCCGTCCCCGCAATAACAACCAAAAAAGAATCCCCCTCGTCCTCACGTACCACCCCACCAACCTCCGGATCCAACGCATCATCCTCCGACACTTCCGCGATCTGCAATCCGACCCCACCACCCTTATCTGCTTTCCGGAGGGACCACTCTCTCCGTGACTCCCTTGTCCGCTCCACACTCCCCTCCAGCCCCACCACACCTGGCACTTTTCCCTGCAACCGCAGGAAGTGCTACACCTGCCCCCACACCTCCTCCCTCACCCCCATCCCAGGCCCCAAGAAGACTTTCCACATCAAGCAGATGTTCACCTGCACATCTGCCAATGTGGCATACTGCATCCGTTGTGGCCGCCTCTACATCGGGGAAACCAAGCGGAGGCTTGGGGACCGCTTTGCAGAACGCCTACGCTTGGTTCGCAATAAACAACTGCACCTCCCAGTCGCAAACCATTTCAACTCCCCCTCCATTCCTCAGCCAACATGTCCATCCTGGGCCTCCTGCAGTGCCACAACGATGCCACCCGAAGGTTGCAGGAACAGCAACTCATATTCCGCTTGGGAACCCTGCAGCCCAATGGTATCAATGTGGATTTCAAAATCTCCCCTCCCCGTACCGCATCCCAAAACCAGCCCAGCTCGTCCCCGCCTCCCTAACCTGTTCTTCATCCCACCTATCCCCTCCTCCCACCTGAAGCCGCACCCCCATTTCCTACCTACTAACCTCATCCCGCCCCCTTGACCTGTCCGTCCTCCCTGGACTGACCTATCTCCTCCCTACCTCCCCACCTACACTCACGTTTACTGGCTCCATCCCCACCTCTTTGACCTGTCTGTTTCCTCTCCACCTATCTTCTCCGCCATCCATCTTCTATCCGCCTCCCCCTCTCTCCCTATTTATTTCAGAACCCCCTTCCCCTCTCCCATTTCTGATGAAGGGTCTAGGCCTGAAACGTCAGCCTTCCTGCTCCTATGATGCTGCTTGGCCTGCTGTGTTCATCCAGCTCTACACCTTGTTATCTCAGATTCTCCAGCATCTGTAGTTCCTACTATCTCTGCATATAACCCAGTCTGTCCCAAACAGCCTTCTCCTGGTTCGGTTGCAGCCCATGGTTTCTTGAGTCCAAAGGTTCAGTAAATTTAATCCAATGTAATTTCCACAACTTCTGTCTTCATAAGGTTTTAGTCCAGGGTATGTTCATAAACTGATGGGGATTTTTGCCCCATCTTACAAATCTGCAACACAAGTAGTCAGAAACAGTGAAATAGATTCCGACCCCACCACCAAAGACATCTTTCCCTCCCCACCTTTATCTGCTTTCCGGAGGGACAACTCTCTCCGTGACTCCCTTGTCCGCTCCACACTCCCCTCCAGCTCCACCACACCCGGCACTTTTCCCTGCAACCGCAGGAAGTGCTACACCTGCCCCCATACCTCCTCCCTCACCCCCATCCCAGGCCCCAAGAAGACTTTCCACATCAAGCAGATGTTCACCTGCACATCTGCCAATGTGGTATACTGCATCCGCTGTACCCGGTGTGGCTTCCTCTACATCGGGGAAACCAAGCGGAGACTCGGGGACCGCTTTGCAGAACACCTGCGCTCGGTTCGCAACGAACAACTGCACCTCCCAGTCGCGAACCATTTCAACTCCCCCTCCCATTCCTCAGACGACATGTCCATCCTGGGCCTCCTGCAGTGCCACAACGATGCCACCCGAAGGTTGCAGGAACAGCAACTCATATTCCGCTTGGGAACCCTGCAGCCCAATGGTATCAATGTGGATTTCACAAGTTTCAAAATCTCCCCTCCCCCCACCGCATCCCAAAACCAGTCCAACTCGTCCCTGCCTCCCTAACCTGTTCTTCCTCCCACCTATCCCCTCCTCCCACCCCAAGCCGCACCTCCATCTCCTACCGACCAACCTCATCCCGCCCCCTTGACCTGTCCGTCCTCCCTGGACTGACCTATCCCCTTCCTAACTCCCTACCTACACTCACCTTTCCTGGCCCCATCCCCGCCTCTTCGACCTGTTTGTTTCCTCTCCACCTATCCTCTCCTCTATCCCTCTTCTATCCGCCTCCCACTCTCTCCCTATTTATTTCAAAACCCCCTTCCCCTCCCCCTTTTCTGATGAAGGGTCTAGGCCCGAAACGTCAGCCTCTCTGCTCCTATGATGCTGCTTGGCCTGCTGTGTTCATCCAGCCCTGCACCTTGTTGTCTCGGATTCTCCAGCATCTGCAGTTCCTACTATCTCTGATTGTTTTCATCTGTGTGTGCTAAAGGATTGCGAGGCAAGTTACCATAGAAACATTAAACATTATCGCCTCTGCTGCTGGGAATATAAAAGATGATAGAAGTCGTGCGGAAAGGCTCATTTCAACGTAAACAAAACACAAACCAATGCATCTATTCTGTCCTCGACCAGAAGAATCAGGAATAATTTGAAACCGGAGTTTAAAACACATTGGTCTCTGCTACATTCACTCACCCCGGGATATAGTGAGGATCCGGAGTCATCAACAGGGGGCTTCGTTTTGGAGGGTACACGGTTGCCATCCGGCAGGAAGCAGCGGGTCTGTGCAGCGCCTTGCTTTACCGAGTGTCCGGGAGCTCCGTCTCTCCCCGCGGGAGCCTGTCACTGCTGGCTCCGGGAGCCCCTTGGGGCCGGTCTCACTGGGGCTTGAGTTGGGGGGGGGGTGCCTGAGGAGCAGGGTGGGGGGCACGGGCACCGCCCACATCTATTCCAAACGGCCACTGGATCCCGGAGAAACAAAAGAGGGTGTTCAATGAGAGATAGTAGGAACTGCAGATGCTGGAGAATCTGAGATAACAAAGTGTAGAGCTGGATGAACACAGCAGGCCAAGCAGCATCAGAGGAGCAGGAAGGCTGACGTTTCGGGCCCAGACAATGACCTCTGTCATAGGAGACCTCTCCCGCGTCAGAAACATTTAACCCTCCTCCCCAGCTCTGCCATTGCATTTGCCATGAATGGTCTCTTTTACTTCAAAATATTCTTTATTCGTAAAAAGTATCATTATATAATTACACATTGTCACAAACGCTTCTGTACAGAAGCATATCAAGGAAACAGACATTGGAGTTTGACTCTATCCAACAAACAAAGGCACCTCTTACTTGAGAAAGACTATACTCGCATGCATTTGAGGCACTCTCTCATACAAACTACGTTCAGACTTTCCTCTGAAGCTTACTTCTTTGACCAAATCGTCAGTCACCCTCCATGCATCACCTTCTTTGTCACGTTGATGAATTATGTTTGATAACTTTTCCGTGTAGCACCTTGGGACTTTTTCTTCTTTAACAGCTCCAGATGCAATTTGTTTGATAATATGACCTATGATTTTATAATTTGATGGCTTAAAAAAGCTACATTGCTGTTGGTTGTTAACTTGTTACAATTAGCAACATTTTACACAAATAATTTTAAGATATTCATTTCAGAAATTAAAATACTCATTTTAGAATGTTTAAAACACTTTGTAACATTATGTTTCCACCATCTATGAGCGATATATTTCAGTATCCTCAGCCATTTATTCTACATTTCTATATACTTCAAAACAACTTAAAAGCAGGGTGGTAATGGCCTAGTGGTATTATTGTTGGACTGTTAATCCAGAGACCCAAGTAATGTTCTGGGTATTTGGGTTTGAGTCCTGTCACAGCAGATGGTGGTTGGGAAGTCAATAAAATCTGGAATTAAGAGTCTATTGGTGACCATGAAACCATTGTCGATTGTTGAGAAATATCCAAAGATTAGACAAGGGAGAGCCAATGGATGTTATCTACTTGCAGAGGGCCTTTGACAAGGTGCTGTACAGGAGGCTGCTAAGTAAGATAAGGGTCCACGGTGTTAGAGACAAGGTGCTAGCATGGATAGAAGATTGGCTGTCTGGCAGAAAGCAGAGAGTGGGGATAAAAAGATCCTTCTCAGGATGGCAGCCGGTGACTAGAGGAGTTCTGCAAGGATCGGTGTTGGGTCCACAACTTTTCATTCATACATTAATGATCTAGATGAAGGAACTGAGTTTGCTAAGTTTGCCGATGATACAAAGATAGGTGGAGGGACAGGTAGTATTGAGGAGGTGGAGGGGCTGCAGCAGGATTTAGACGGATTAGGAGAGTGGGCAAAGAAGTGGCAGATGGGATACAATGTGGGAAAGTGTGAGGGCATGCACTTTGGTAGGAAGAATAGAGGCATAGACTATTTTCTAAATGGGGAGAAAATTCAGAAATCTGAAGTGCAAAGAGTCCTAGTCCAGGATTCATTTAAGGTAAATTTGCAGGTTTAGTCGGTAGTTAGGAAGGCAAATACAATGTTGGCATTTATTTTGAGAGGACTAGAATATGAAAGCAGGGAAGTACTTCTAAGACTTTATAAAGCTCTGGTCAGATCACATTTAGAATATTGTGAGCAACTGTGGGCATCAGGAAGGATGTACTGGCCCTCGAGTGGGTCCAGAGGAGGTTCATGAGAATGATCCCTGGAATGAAAAGCTTAACATATGAGGAACATTTGAGGACTCTGGGTCCATACTCAATGGAGTTTAGAAGGATGAGGGAGGATTTAATTGAAACTTACAGAATACTGAAATGCCTGGATAGAGTGGATGTTGGCAAGATGTTTCCATTAGCAGGAGAGGCTAGAATCCGAGGGGACAGCTTTACAGTAAAGGAAAGACCCTTTAGAATGGAGATGAGGAGAAACACCTTCAACCAAAGAGTGGTGAATCTATGGAATTCATTGCCACAGAAGGCTGTGGAGGCCAGGTCATTGAGAATATTTAATACAGAGATGGTTCGGTTTTTGATTTGTAAGGGGATCAAAGGTTATGGGGAGAAGGTGAGCGAATGGGGTTGAGAAACTTATCAGCCATGATTAAATGGCAGAGCAGATTCGATGGGCCAATAACCTAAATTCTGCTCCTATTCTTGTGACTTGAGTGCAACATACTTTGAGGAATCATGAAGATGTAGAAAAAGTGTTGTATAAATGCAGAGATAGTAGGAACTGCCGATGCTGGAGAACCTGAGATAACAAGGTGTAGAGCTGGATGAACACAGGAGGCCAAGCAGCACCAGAGGAGCAGGAAAGCTGATGTTCCGAAGAAGGGTCCAGACCCGAAACGTCAGCTTTCCTGCTCCTTTGATGCTGCTTGGCCTGCTGTGTTCATCCAGCTCTACACCTTGTATAAATGCATATTGTTTTTCAAGAACATGTGCACAATTTTTTGGAGAAAAATTCTTAAATTGTGGAGGCTATTTTCCCTGGAGCGTTGGAGGCTGAGGGTAACCTTGTGGAGATTTATAAAATCATGAGGGGTATGGATAGGGTAAATAGGCAAGGTCTTTTCCCCGGGGTGTGGGAGTCCAAAACAAGACGGCATAGGTTTAAAGTGTGATGGAAAAGATATAAAAGGGTCCTAAGGGGTAACTCTTTCACACTGAGGGTGGTACATGAATGGAATGAGCTCCCAGAGGAGTTGATGGAGGCTGGTATGATTACAACATTTAAAAGGATGGATATGTGAATAGGAAGGGTTTAGAGGGATATGGGCCAAATGCTGGCAAATGGGACTAGCTTAATTTAGAATATCTGGTTGGCATGGACAGGTTGGACTGAAGGATCTGTTTCTGTGCTGTATATCTTTATGACTCCATGACTCTATTTCTATTTTTGAGTGTGTTCCTTAGTTTGTTTAAGCAATTGTTCATCATTGAGAACGAATAAACTACCACAGAGATGTACCAATTATGCATCATTAGGCTGTGCTTGCTGCTTTTTGTTTAAAATTTAATGAAATGAATCCTAGCAGTACAGTCTGATTTTCCTTAGCTATACAATTGCTATTTACAAAGTTTGGCAAGGCCCAGCTTCCAAACATCCGATCACCCAGGAGTTGACCCAGCTGCATGTTTTTTGTGAATTAGATTAATTAGAAGATTATTTATTATTGGAAACTGGGATCCTCCACAGAACTGAAGTGCTAGAAATATCCAAAGTGCCAGGGGTCATCCAGGGGTAAATGGAGTTTGGTGAATCAGGGAGACTCAAGTTTTTTGAGGAATAAATTAAGGGCTAATTTCAAACTGAAGTCTAGTCTATTCTTTGATTTAGCAAGAACTACAAGTTGCTCTTTTAATTGGGTGCAGCTTTAAAACAGGAATTTATAGGTACTTGGCTGAAGCTAGTTAATTTTTTTAGACAACCAATTTATTCCAGCTCCAGAAGCCTCTGATATAGGGCCATAAAAGGGAAGCACAAAGAGTTTTAGGAGTCCTAGGTTAAGGTCTTAAGATTAACATATAGGTTTAGGTAGCGGTTGGGAAGGCAAGTGCAATGTTAGAATTCATTTCAAGAGGACTAAAATACAAGAGCATGAATGTACTACTGAGGCTGTATAAGGCTGTGGTTTTTGGAATATTGTGAGCAGTTTTGGGCACCATATACATGGAAGGATGTGCTGGCCTTGGAGGGGTCCACAGAAGGTTCACAAGAATGATCCTTGGGATGAAGGACTTGTCATACAAGGAGAGGTTGAGGACTCTGGGTGTATACTCGATGAAGTTTAGAAGGATGAGAGGGGATCCAACTGAAACTTACAGAATACCGGGAGACCTGGATACAGTGGACGTGGAGAAGATGTTTCTAATAGAAGGAGAGACTATGACTCAAAGTCACAGCCTGTGAGTGAAGCGATGACCGTTTTAGAACTGAGATGAGGAGGAATTTCTTTAGCCAGAGATGGTGGATCTGTGGAACATTGTTACAGAAGGCTGTGGAGGCCAAGTCAATGAGTATCTTTAAGATAAAGATAGATAAGTTCTTGATTAATAAGGGGCTTAAGGGTTAAGGGGAGAAGGCAGAAGAATGGGGTTAGAAACATATTGACTATGATTAAATGGTGGAAGAAAACAGCCTAATTCTGCTCCTATGTCTTATGGTAAATCCTGAGATTGGATGTTTGAAATTGTGCTACAGGCACAGGGCAACTACTTCACAGATATTGACTTGGAAATGATCCTGCAAGATGTCAAGGACTGTGAGAGGCTCTTTGTTTGAGACTGAGGAACAGCACACCTCAAAAAGAGCAGTAAAGAAGTGGAAGGAATTTTCCATATCCATTAATGGATATCTTTGCTACAAAAAAGGACTAAAACAATATGAGAAATAGGAATTGGCTTTATTTTTGAAGATATAATAATTGATTGTCAAGGTATGCATAATACTTGAGACCAAATTCACTGCCAACATTAAATGTTCTGAGGGGGCAACAATGTTACATATGTCCTCAAAACTGCTGCAGTCCTTGTTTCAAAAGGCTCTACTATAATGTTGCCAGTGAATTCTTGAATTTTGATCAGTGGCTATAAAGGAGCGTTTACATATGTCAAAGCCATGATGGTGTGTGACTTGAAGGAAAACTTGGAAGTGATAGCATTCTTATGAGATTGCAGCCCTTGTCTATTTGGTAGTAATTGTCACAGGACTAATGTTACAAAGAGAAACTGGGGCGAATTTAAATTGAATCAGAGATAGTAGGAACTGCAGATGCTGGAGAATCCGAGACAACAAGGTGCAGGGCTGGATGAACACAGCAGGCCAAGCAGCATCATAGGAGCAGAGAGGCTGACGTTTCGGGCCTAGACCCTTCATCAGAAAAGGGGGAGGGGAACGGGGTTCCTAAATAAATAGGGAGAGAGTGGGAGGCGGATAGAAGAGGGATAGAGGAGAGGATAGGTGGAGAGGAAACAAACAGGTCGAAGAGGCGGGGATGGAGCCAGTAAAGGTGAGTGTAGGTAGGGAGTTAGGAAAGGGATAGGTCAGTCCAGGGAAGACGGACAGGTCAAGGGGGCGGGATGAGGTTGGCCGGTAGGAGATGGAGGTGCGGCTTGAGGTGGGAGGAGGGGATAGGTGGGAGGAAGAACAGGTTAGGGAGGCAGGGACGAGCTGGACTGGTTTTGGGATGCGGTAGGGGGAGGGGAGATTTTGAAACTTGTGAAATCCACATTGATACCATTGGGCTGCAGGGTTCCCAAGCGGAATATGAGTTGCTGTTCCTGCAACCTTCGGGTGGCATCATTGTGGCACTGCAGGAG